GAGGCCTCACGACAAGACGCAACCGTTATATATTCCTGTGTGGAAGTGGAGGACATTACTATGGATTTCATTACGAAGCTTCCCAGGACCGCACGTGGAGTTGATTCGATATGGGTCATCGTGGCTCTGTTGACAAAGAGTGCTCATTTTATCCCGATCCAGGAGAGCATATCGGCCGAGAAGCTGGCCGAGATTTACGTGTGTGAGATAGTGGCACGACATGGAGTGCCTGTCTCGGTGGTGTCAGACCGAGATGTCCATTTCACTTCCAGATTTTGGAAGCGGTTTCACGACGAGACGGATACTCGTCTCCACTACAACACCGCTTTCCACCCCCAAACGGACGGACAGAGCGAGAGGACGATTCAGACTCTAGAGGACATGCTAGGTGCATGTGTTTTGGATTTCGGTGGCAGTTGGGATACGTATCTTCCGTTAGCAGAATTTTCATATAACAACAGCTACCACGCCAGCATATACCGGCCTCCCTTCGAGATGCTCTACGGGAGGAAGTATAGGACCACAATCTGTTTGGGCGAGGTCGGTCAGAGAGTCATGGGGAGTACTGAGGTAGTACTCAAGACTATAGAGCGGATCCAGCAGGTTCGGAGCAGGCTCCAGACTACTCAGGGTCGGCAGAAGAGCTACGCCGACAAGCGGCGTTCAGACTTGGAGTTTCAGGTGGGCGATATGGTCCTCCTGAAGGTGTCACCTTGGAAAGGTGTCATCCGGTTCCGGAAGTGGGGCAAGCTGAGCCCCAGGTATATCGGCCCTTTTAGGGTTATAGCCCGGGTGGGCAAGGTGGCATACCGATTGGATCTTCCAGCAGAGCTCAGCCAGATCCATAATATTTTCCACATTTACCAGCCATGGAAGTGCTTAGTGGATGACTCAGCGGTTGTGCCTCTAGAGGACATTCAGGTTGATGACAACCTGAATTACATCGAGATACCAGTAGTTGTTCTCGATAAAAAGACAAAGGAGCTGAGGAACAAGAGGGTTGAGTTGGTGAAGGTATAGTGGCAGCACCGCATGGTTTCAGAGTGGACTTGGGAGCTCGAGGAGGAGATGAGGGAGCACTACCCGGAGTTGTTTCCAGATGCAACAGACTTCGAGGACGAAGTCTAAGTCAAGTGGGGGAGAATTGTAATGCCTAATTCCTGGTACGCATTTATTTATAACTTATTTATTTTTGTAGAGCTACTCGACGAGATGGGAGCCCCAGACTCGTCGAGTAGAAACGAGACTGGACGCGGGGTCTTAAGCAATCTACTCGACGAGTTAAGAGCCCTCAACTTGGCGAGTAGGTTTGCCAGAGTGAAACCCTAATTTCGGTGTTTTGCACCTTATTTAAGCATCTTAATCCCCACCTTATGGCCTCATTTCCAACCTCCAAGTCCCAAACCCTAATCCACGAAACGCTAGGACATTTTGTCAGTGTGTGAGCCATTCTTGAGTAATCTTTGTGTGTTCTAGATGCTTGAAGAAGAAAAAGGTGCTAGAAGGTTCAAGGAGCAGATAGTAGATCCAGAGACTTCCTTCCATCCTCATCATTTTCTGGTAATCACGTCTCTAGCTTGGCTATTAGTTCATTAGATCTCCTTAGTTCCATTTTATGATGGTTTTGGTTCAAGAATCTTGATCTTTGGGACATGGACGTCCCAAGTGGCTTAACTTTCAGATCTGGGATCTAGAAGGGGTTTCATGGCATAAAGGTGCAAACTTTATGACCATGGAAGCCCCATACATGCTTAAAGACGTTATTATGGCCTTTTAAGCCCCAAAAGGCCATGCATGGAAGTAAAGTCTGAGACTTTACGTGTTCACTTGGTGTCTAGGACCTAGATCTCGGTTTTTATGCTTTGAGTTGGAGTAATAAGGCTTTTGGACAAAGATCTATGTCTTAAAAAACTAGGGTTTTAGCTAAACCCAATAATAAGGATTATTAGTGGGTAAAGTTGGAAACTTTACCCTTAAAAGGGCATTTCCAGTGTGTAGATGAAGTATGGACTTTTGATCCGGAGAGTAGAGGCTTAATCTGTTAAGATGGCCAAACAGACAGAGTAACTCGTCGAGTCCATAGAGGAACTCGACGAGTTGAGTCGTGTTGTCCCGTTTTAGCTTAAGGTAGAACTCGACGAGTCTGTGAAGGGACTCGACGAGTTGATTCGCCAAATTGCGACTATGAGTAGCCATGGAACTCGGCGAGTCAGGGGGTGACTCGACGAGCTAGATCGCGATTTCAGGGTTCTAGGAATCGGCTATTTGATGGATCAACTCGGCGAGTTGGGTCAACCCAGAATGTTGACTTTGACCAGAATGTTGACTTTGACCAGGGGTAAAATGTTCATTTTACCCTTAGAAGGATTCTCAGTTTTTGACTTAGTGATTATTGTGATAATGATAGTCGGGGATTCCTTGGAGTAGCCATCAGAGATTCCTCACTCGAGATTTCAGCAGCCAGCTTGAGAGGTGAGTTTTCCTCCAGTAGGAACGGGTCGAAGGCACCAATGTTGGCTCGTTTATGTATGTTAGCGTATGCCGGACTTAGGTCTAATGTCGGGGCTAGCCCGATGTAGATTATATGTTTCCGGACTTAGGTCCGATATCGGGGCAAGCCTGAGGAATGTTTGTATGCTTGATGTCTTTGTGATTCTTTCATGTGTTTGTTTATATGTTTCAGACTTTGGTCCGATGTCGAGGCAAGCCCGAGGAATGTTTAGTTATATGTTATGTGTTATATGTTCCAGAATTTGGTTTGATGTTGGGGCAAGCCCGAGGAAGGGTTTAGCTTATATGTTATGTTATGTGTTTATGTTATATGCTTGTTCATATGTAATATGTATACCGGACTTTGTCCGATGCCGGGCGGGGCCCGATGCTGGACTTCGGTCCGATGTCGGGCGGGGCCCGATGCAGTTGGCAAGGCCCAATGTATGGTATTATGTGATTATGTGTATGGTATGTGGTAGTCTGGGGAGACTCACTAAGCTTCGTGCTTACAGTTTTCAGTTTTGGTTTCAGGTACTTCCGCTAGCAAGGGGAAGAGCTCGGGATGACTGCATGGCACACACCACAACTTTTAGCCTGGGATGTTTAGACTCTGATATTTTGACACTTGATTGATACAGTATTTTTGATACGATGTTTTGAGATACATGACTTGTGATTATATTAATATGATGTTTGATGAATTATGGTTTTTCTTAAATGATTTAAAACGAAATTTTTGGAGCGTATTTTTGGGATGTTACAGTTTAGCACCCATCTTTTGGCGTTGAGAGTTGTTGGCTGCGGTCGGTGTGACTTTGAGCGGGGTTTTATTCGGCGTTGTTATTCAAGTGAGTCTTCAAACTGCACTTGTGGGTCGAAGGCATCAATGTCGGTCCACTAGATTGTGTTATGTAGGTTGCTAGTTGTCTTTTTGACTCTTACATGTGTGATTGGGTTGAAATAAACCCCATGGTTGGGTCCATAGTTTTATTTTTGGGTTAAAAGAAACCCCAGGGTTGGGCCCATTATTGCATGTTCGAGTTAAAACACACCCCATGGCTGGGCCCATGATTATATGTTGGGTTGAAACATACCCCAAGGCTGGGAACATGATTGTATGTTGGGTTGGAATATATACCAGGGCTGGACCTACTGATTTATATGGTATGTGGTATTTGGGGAACTCGCTAAGCTTTGTGTTTATGGTTTATATTTAAAATGTCTTCAGGTACTTCTGGTTTCAAAATGAATGGTCAAGCTTAATCGCACTGCATCGCATTTAAATTTATTTCGCACTGAATGTTTACGAATTACTTTAGTGTTTTGAGAATACTTTTATTTTGATTGTCATTTAGTTAATGAATGAATGGTTTGACTTATTTAAAAATGAAAATTTTACTCGGTATTTTTGGGACGTTACATAATCCGATTTCAAACCGGTTTAAAACGATTTTAGTGGGTTTTAGTGGATTTTGGGGAGGATTTGGATCTGGTTTTTAGCAAATTCGGTTTGTACAAAATCTGATTTTTTCCATAGGACCAGGATTTGGTTTGAATCCGTTTGATCGGATCCAATCTGATCCGGTTTGCTCAAATCCGGTAACCAAAACCGGTTTTCGGATTGGATCGGTTTCAAATCGAGGATCCGGTTTTGGTGTGCATCTCTAGTCGCCACTATTGGGTTTGTGTGAAACGGAGCCCCAACTGTTGGATTAGATACTCGATCGGACTGTTAGGATTCACCAGAAACGTCTGACGCGGATCAATCTTTTAGGTATGACCGACACCGTTAGCGGCGACAATTGTTTGTGTAACTGCTAAAAGTTGTTGTCGTCGTTAAAAGTGTCGCCGGTAAATGGTTTTTTTTCTTATAATGTAAGTAGAAAGATTAATAGGAACAAAAAGCAAGAAGATATTTGACTTTTCCTTTTGTTTGTTGTGTTTTAATAAATAGTCTTATCTTTAAGTCTTTGCGATTCCTTTCTTAAAATAATAAACACAATAAAATTATTTCTTTTAATTTCACTCAAAGTCAATATGTCTAAAGTTATATGCATAAAGAATACAAATTTATTTGGTTTGGTTGCGGATGGTTGCTTATTACCTAACAAACAATATATAAAGTTTATATGTATAACCCGGTCCAAATTTTGACAATAGACTTTTTAAAAATATATATATGGAGTTTTTTTAGTCGGATCCTAAATAATTTGAACCGGTCCTTTCTATTGGATAGATATTGTGTCGTAGGATTAATTGTCTCATCTCGTTGTTGCTATTCTCTACTTGGTTTATTCCTAGAGTCATTGTCTATATTGTTATTTTTCTTGTGTTTTGAATTCGTTGTCTACTTCATTGTAATCTTAATTTGTCTCTAATAAAATTAGCCATTAAAAAAATAAGCTGAACTTTTGATAAGAAATTGGAACGTAAAAAACACTTTTTTCCACAACTTACTTTCCTATATATGTAGGCAATGTGTACAAGGCTAAACCATATGAAATTGTCCATCACTTGTCCATTATAACGGAAAAAATATGGCTTTGCAAAATGAAGAACAATCTACAAACTTGCTTCATGCTCAAGCTCACATATGGAACCACATTTTCAGCTATATAAACTCCATGTCACTCAAATGTGCTATTGAGCTACAAATACCTGATATCATTAATCGCCATGGTGCACCAATGTTGCTCTCAGAGTTAGTGGAAGCACTCCCCATCAACAAGGAGAGAACCAATTATGTCTACCGACTTATGCGCATCCTTGTTCACTCTGGTTTCTTTGTGAAACAAAGTATATCGAATGGCGAGGAGGAAAGAGAAGGCTATTTGCTAGCTCCTGTTTCTCGCTTCCTTCTAAAGCAAGAACCATTAAGCCTTAGGCCCTTTTTACTAAGCATGTTGGATCCCGTACTGATGGAATCATGGCAACCCATGAGCAAATGGTTCCAAAATGATGACGTCAACTCTTTTTACACAGCCCATGGGAGGACGTTTTGGGATTTTGCAGGCCAAGATTCCAGGCATAACCAGTTGTTTAACGAAGCAATGGCCAGTGATGCAAGGCTTGTTACAAATATCATGCTAAGACAGTATGGAGATGCTTTTAAGAACTTGAATTCAATTGTTGATGTTGGAGGTGGTACTGGCACCGTTGCCAAACTCATAGCTGAAGCTTTTCCGAATATTAGTTGCATCTGCTTTGATCTTCAGCACGTTATCAATGGTTTGGAGGGAAGTAACAATTTAAGTTACGTTTGTGGGGACATGTTTGAAGTCATTCCTAAAGCTGATGCAGTTTTGTTGAAGGTATTCTTTCTATTCCTTATTAATTTTAAAAAGTGCTGATTTCTTTTGGACATTTGTCGTCGATCATCTTTTTCTATCGGCAAAAGAGAGAAATATTAAAAGAATATGGGTGTTTGATCGAATTTATCAATACATTTATGTCAGAACTTGTACTAAAGTGTTATCTTGAAGCGTCTTGATGTTATTATGTTTATATCATATGATGAAAAATAGTGGATATTACATGATTGGAATGATGAAGATTGCATAAAGATATTGAAGCGATGCAAAGAGGCAATTCCGAGCAAAGAATATGGAGGGAAACTAATCATTATAGACATGGTGTTGAAGAACGATGAAGTTGGTGAGAAATCTCTCGAGACTCAGCTTTTCTTCGATGTGCTTATGATGATCGACCAGACTGGAAGGGAGAGGACCGAAAAAGAATGGGCAAAACTCTTCCTCGATGCCAGCTTTAGCGATTATAAAATAATTCCGTGTTTAGGGTTAAGGTCTATCATAGAAGTGTATCCTTAGTTAAGTTAAGAATACTTTCTATGCACAACATAATTGCTGGCGCAATTAATTACTGAATAATGAACTTGCTTGATTGTTTTCTTGGTTGATCTGTCCATTAATCGTGCTGTTCTTCGTCCTATATCATTATTCAACACATATTGTAATAACATTCACTTGAATAATCCTCTTCATTACATTTTCTTTTTTATTTACTTAATTTTTTATTTTTTTATTTTTAAACGACTGGCAATAATACTGATAATGGAAGTTAGCAATAAGCTAGAATATATAAAAATAATAGTACAAAAAAAGACGGCAAAAAGTAAAATATTACGTCGCTTGCCAAAGCCAAGGGAGATTTGAGATTGTTGGTGTGGAGTTTGAGGCTTTGCAAATTACAAATCACCCAAAGGAACACCACTAACACCGCCTCCTGAATTATTGCTAAACTCTCCAGACCTTCAACCGAATTTTTGCACACTAACTTATATATTCAACCAGCTGCATATTTGTTTGTCAAACTTCCAATGTAATCAGACATTCTAAGAAGTTATATTTTTCTGTTTCGGGGACCCCATTAGCCATTACACAGCTTACAAGATGGATAGAGCCACCAAATTTGACAAGATCATCAGATGTAGGCAAATTTTTTTGTGGCTGATTGTTCAAGCTAAGATATTAACTTTGTTAGGGCCTAGATTAATCCATTTTCATGAGTAATTAGAACGAGAAGGGAACTTTGGTAAATGTACTGTACAAAAGAAGACATCATATATAGCCATGTATTACCCAAATTCCAGTGCTAGACTAGAGGGTTACTGTTAACTTAACTGATTAATTATCCATATGCACATGATTCGTTATTCAGCTACAAAAGTTGTTAGAAGTCTATTAGCTTAATCCGTTACTTAGTCCTTGTACATATATAGTTTTACATGTTGGCTTTTGCACAGTGGGTATAGGTTGTACTCAGAGGTTTATGACAAGAAAAATGAGAAGAGCAAAACACAGTGGCGCAGCTGCATACTTCTTATTTGGAAAGCTGGCACGATAAAGAAAATACTTTCCCTTTTTAAACTAAAGAAAAGAGAAACCCATAAAACTACTAATAGATTACCCATAAAACTAGACTATCTATAAAACCGAAAGAAACTACCCTATATGCTAATGACCAAGTACTACACCTAACATGGCTTTGAAATATTCAAAGCTTCTAGATTAGGTAAAACACAGAAAAAGCATGAGTTAAATATAAAACATACTGTAATATCTAGATTAACTCCAATAAGCTCTCATGTTTCTTTATGCTTGACTTTTACCATGACTTTTGTGAGTATATTTGTCTTTTGTTCCTTGTTGCATACCTGGCTCACCTTCACTTCTCCCCTTTCCACACATTAATGGAATCTTGTGTCGATATGCTTGCTCCTCCCGTGAAATACCGGATTTTTCATGAGGTCTAAGGCTGACTTGTTATCAATATGCAGAGTTACGGGTGCTACTGTTTGTGAGGTTATCTCCGTGAGAAGGTGTCGTATCCATATTGCTTGACATGTTTCCATGGTGGCTGCCATAAACTCCACTTCACACGATGATAAAGCTACACTTCGTTGTTTCTGAGATGCCCATGTGACTAAGTTCTCAATGATATAGAATGACATACCACTAGTACTTTTCCTATCATTTACATCTATCGCCAAATCACTGTCACAATAACCAGAAATCTTGATTTCTTTCACTACCATACCGTAATCCAAGGTTCCCTTCACATACATGAGAATACCATTCACAACCTGAAAGTATTTTTCAGTTGGTTTTTCCATGAACCTACTAACTACACCAAGTGCAAACGATAAATCGGGACGGGTATGTGTTAAGTATCGTAAGCTTCCTACGATGCTTTTGTACTCCGTTGGATTAACCAGTTCCCCATCTTCATCTTTTCTTAGCTGCAACTTATGTTCAATTGGACATTTAGTGGAGTTGCAGTCTACCATCTTTGTTTATGCTAGAATATTTCTTGCATACGCCTCTTGCTTTAAAGTAAGCCCTCCTTTAAATTGACATGCTTCTATACCCAGGTAGTGAGACAGTAGACCTAAATCACTCATCTCAAATCTTCTGTTCATATGTATCTTGAAAGTATTTACCTCAAATTTAGAATTTCCTGTCACCAGTAGATCATCTACGTACACAGCCACAATCAATACTTTTCCACCTTTGTTTTGAGTATACACAGAGTACTCTTGAGAGCATCGTATAAATTCCAAAAATTTTAAGTACCTGTCTAAACAGGCATTCCAAGCTCTGGGCGTTTGCTTAAACCCATAAAATGATTTTACGACCTTGGAAAATTTATGCTTTTAATCTCGTTTATCGAAACCTTACGAATGTAGTACATAAACCTCCTCCTCCAAAATTCCGTTTAGAAAGATGATTTCACATCTAAGTGATGTACCGGCCATCCATGGGTTCCTGCAAGGGCAAGTAGGGGACATACCATTTCAAGTCTAGCCACTGGTGAAAAAACATCTTCATAATCGATTCCAAGTTTCTGGACATAACCTCGTGCCACCAATCTAGCTTTGTGCTTCAGTATTCTTCCGCTTGGATATTTTTTCACCTTGAATACCCACTTCAATCCAATGGCTTTTCGACCTTTTGGAAGTTCAACCGGATTTAATGTCATGTTTCTCTCAATTGAATTGAGCTCTGTTCTCATGGTGTCGACCCACTGTATCTGTTTGTTTGCTTTTGTGTATGAGGTTGGTTCTTCATTATGATGGATTAACAGCAATCGATCAGTGTTTTTGTACAAATCAGTTAACAATCGGTACCGCTTGGAAGAACCACCACCTGTAGAGCTCGATGTCGTGCTTAAGGAATCGACTGACGAGATTGGAGTTACCGATGAAGACAGATGCGGTTGTGGTGAACTGGTAATAGGACTAACTTGCGATGAATTGGTAATAGGACTAACATGTAGGCTTATGTGTCAGTCAATCTGAGGAGTAATGGGCTTCGACCCACTTTCAATCCATATCCCATTGCTTTGTGGCGCTCCATTTTCAACTTCTCCAGGCGTACCTGGTATCGAACCAACTTCAATATCTTTTATTTCATTTAGATCATAGCCTTCCATCGTGAAACTCATATCAGGTGTTGACTTGATTTTGATTGCCTCCTCCCACAAAAATGCTTGCTTTTCTTCAAATTTTATATCTGTATTCACATAAATCGACCCCGAATTTGGATCCAATAACCTATATGCCTTCGTTCCTTCTCGATTCCAAGGTGTACCACTATTTTAGTCATGTCATCTAACTTCTTCAAGTGGATTTTTGCTAACTTCATGTAAACTACACATCTAAACACTCTAAGGTATCCAACATGAGGTAATCTTCCAGTCCACAATTCATATGGTGTGTTTATGTTTATTCGGTTCAAGATATATGCCGCATGACTTATAGCTTCTCCCCACAACACGCCTGGCACCTTCATTTATTTCAGATTGCTTCTTACCATCTCCAAGACTGTCATGTTTCTACTCTCCACAATACGGTTCTGTTGTGGATAGTATGGAGTTGTGTATTGTCTCGAGCCCGATTTCTCTGCAATACATGGTGAACTGATTCGAAAGGAACTCGCCACCACGATCTGTACAAAACACCTTCATTCTTTCTCCCGATTTATTCCCCATTGCTGCCCTGAAATCCGATTATGTTAGCTAGGGTCTTCTCGTCTGCATAGCTCTTCAATGGTCGTCAAGAAGTAGCATGAAATATTTGTTCCCAGATGGTGTGGGAGGTGTGACAAGCCCGTATAAATCTCCAAGTAAATACTATAACCTTACCTAATTCATAGTGATTTTATAAAGTCGACTTTAAGACCTTTGTACCTTCATAAGCAGCTTTCCTGCAACATCATTAACCCATAAAATGGGTCTTTTATCTGAACCTTTATCTCCACGTTCTGCCAATTGACCCAAACTGATTATATTACTACACAAATCTGGATTGTATTAGACTTCCTGAAGCATTCTTTGCTCACCATTCTTGCATTTGAAGACAATTGAACGTTTCCCTTCAATCTGAACTTTAGATCCATCTCAAAATCTCACAGAACCTTGAATCATTGAGCTTAGTTCATGGAACTTGTTTTTATAACCTGTCATATGGTTGACCCCGTGTCGAGATACCACAACTTGTTTGGTTACTGTTAACATGATGTCGCGTGCGTTTTAAACAAGTAAATTATCACTGCTGGTTGCACTAAAAATATAGCACAGGGAAGCAGGGTCGAATCCTCAGGGACACAGTCTAATGGTCAATGCCTTTTTGCATCAGGCATATCTAGTCAAGAATCAGAATATAAAAGGGGGATTTTGAATTAAACTAAAAACTAAAATTGCAGTGATATTAAATTAAACGAAAATCAATAATTAAAATGGTTTCAGTTCTGCTGCGGCTTTCCTAATCATGCAATCAACATTGACCTGATTATTTGAGATGCGTTCTATCTAAGCTGGTATTGAGAAAAACAAATAAGCTCTAGTATAATCTCTTTTACCATATTTAGTTAACCAAAACAAGCTCTTCAATTAACCCAAACTTTTTTATGTCTAATCAAACAAGCTCTTAAATAAGATCAGAAAAGTTGCATTAAGTTCTGTGTAAAATTCCAACAATATCCAATACTTCTCACAAGCTCGGAAGCGTAAAGATATGATTTTCACAGTTTATAATAAAGTCAAATCCCAAACACGGAACCGATTTATTACTTGTTACTTATTACCAGTTGACAAGAACAATTACGTATTCTATAACTGATTAACTGGAATGATAAAACCCTAGCTAGGTGATCAGACTAACAAGAATTTAAAACCAAACATTCATTAAGAACAAAACTGAAGAATCTAGATAGAAACACAAATCAAAAACCAGATCTAATGATCAATCACATGAAAAGTACTTGTCTTTGCAGAACTGAAAACTAAGGTTTTATCCAGACATGGCTAAAATCTGATAAAAACAAATGAAAAGAGACATCAAACAACTAATCTTACTAATCTAATTGAAGGAGATGATCCACAGTCTTCAGATCTTCAG